ATTCTAACTGAACTTTCCAATTCAGTGATGGAGCTGGCATTTCTTAAGAGTAGTTGAAATAACTTTTTCAGTAAATATTGTCGAAGCCAGACATTCAACTCAGAAATGTGATTCTTCCTCTACTAATTGCTAATATCCTTCAAGGAAATGTAATTCATCCCATCCGTGTTCTGGATCGAGATTTACACACTTATAAAATGAAAGCTCTCTGCAGTCTGGGGAGAAAACCTGCACATTCTCTGCGGCTGCTGATCCTGAGAGCTTTCCTCTGATATCTTCTCTTTCCTCTCATAGCTCCAGGGATGAGGCCCCCAATGGGAGGACACATGCCAATGATGCCAGGGCCCCCAATGATGAGGCCACCCTCGAGACCCATGATGGTGCCAACCCGGCCAGGGATGACCCGTCCAGACAGATAAAGACGTGGAGTCCTCTGGTTCTTTTCATATTATGCTCTTCCATGTGCTAAAATGCTGTAGTCCTACATCCCAAGGATTTTATATGAAAACAGTGTGTAGATGAGATCTGCTCTTACTTCAGATTGCAGACTGTTTGACTTAGACACGCACTGGAGTGATGCTTTTGTAAACTGGTCTGGTTTTTGGTTTGTTTTCCCTGTTGAAATAAAACATTGAAGCTGGTTTATGTATGGAACACCTGAACCCTACTGTGATTCTTTGCCTGGCAGGATGTCAACTCTTCATTGCACCCTCTCCACTTGTACTACACTTTGCTTTTTAAGGTTTCTTTTTTCCTTGAGTCTACTTCCACATCGTAGCCATAGAGAGAGGTATAACTATCTGCTTTCTTTAACTAGAAATTCTTGTTTCAAAACAAGCATGCATGGTTTTAATTTTAAAAAGCGATGCCAAAAAGGTCTGCAGTGATCTCCCTTACTGGGGAAACTAACATTAATCAGTGTTAATTCCTAACAGTACAGGATGAGTTTAATAAAATCTTGATTCTTTATTGTGAGAAGCAAAGAGATGCTGTTAAAAGCTCACTTCTTACAGTAAGGTATTGCAAGTCGTTGCTTTGCCACTCACAAGTGTATTTTTAATTTGCTGCTGAGGCGTTTGTGTGGACATTAAATTATCAGAACTATGGAGTCAGGCAGTGGTAATGCCCACTTTTCTTCTTCAGAGAAGGAATGTGGGGTTGAAGACAATTACCAAAGCCCTTCTGTTTGTGGAAAGGGCTTTGTGTTTGTCATGTGCTTAATGCAAGCATACAGTTCTAACTGAATCAGAAGAATTTATTGTTTGCATAACCACCTGCTCTGTGCATATTGGTTGTCGTCCGTTTATATAGGTGGAATTTTCCAACTCATTCTTGGCATATTTGTATCTAACATGAAAGAGTGGGAGTTAACTTGCAGGGAAGTGTTTTGGTCAGCAGATCTGCAAGGACTCCTTTTCTGAGCTGAATCATTGATATGAGGTGGTATTTTAGGAAGGCATTTTTCATGCCTTCAAGTTTGTAAAGCACGTTGGGTGGCTGCATACTATCAGATTAAAATAACGTATGCAGCCAAGTACAAAGCACGTGGCTTCCTTGGTAAAGGACTGACTGATCAGTTTAATGCTCCAGTGCCTTATTTGAAGAACAACACAATCATTTATGAGGGATTTCTTTGTTCAGCACAGCCTTGGAAGCAAAGCACTCCCTTGTAGCACAATATGAAATCCCCCAGCATGTGAAATATAACTTGCTGTCATCCATCAAGGAGCAATGCAGCATAAATGAAGGAGCACAGAAACTGCTCCAACTAAGATGTTTTTTTTAAATTCCAGCAATTGTTTTATGCTGAACACTTTTAAGACTCAGCACTGCTTCTCAAAGGCTGGTTTTGGCTGTCCTGAGATAGCTCATACAGAATGAGGTATGAAGCTGCTCAGGGATTTTCCCTCCACCTCCAGCAGTGTGAGCAATGAGCGTGCTAATAAAGGCAGAGCTGAGGGCTGCCTGAAGCTCTGTGACAATGCTGGGTGCTCCTGGCTGTGCTCTGCTGCCAGTGCTGGTTGATAATGGGGTGATGTGGCTGAACTGGAGCTGCTGGACCCCATAGGGAGCTACCCTTGTGCTGCTGGGTGCCACAGGCTTGGACAGGTATCTTGGCTGGGTCCAGAACTGGCTGGATGCAGGGTCTGGAGAGTGTTGGATGGAGTTAAATCCAGCTGGTGCCTGGTCAGCAGTGATGTTCCTCGGGGTGGGTGCTTGGGCCTGTTCTGTTTGATACCTTCATTGATGATCTGGATGAGGGGATTGAGTGCACCACAGAATCACGGAATGGCCTGGGTTGGAAGGGACTCGAGGATCACAATGCTCCAACCCCTTCTGCCACATGCAGGGCCACCAAATTCCCTATTTAATACTACACCAGGCTGCCCAGGACCCCATCAACCTGGCCTTGAACACCTCCAGGGATGCACAGGGCATCCACAGCCTCTCTGGGCAGCTGTTCCAGCACCTCACCGCTCTCATAGCAAAGAACTTCCCCCTGACATCCAACTGAAATCTTCCCTCCCTCAACTTCAAACCGTTTCCCCTTGTCCTGTTGTTATCTATCCTTTCCAAGAGTTGACTCCCTTCCTGTTTGTAGGCTCCCTTTAAGTACTGAAGGCTGCAATGACCTCACCCTGCAGCCTTCTTTTCTCCAGGCTGAACAAGCCCAGCTCCCTCAGCCTGTCTTTGCAGGGAGGTGCTGCAGCCTCCTGATCATCTCTGTGGCTTCTCTGGACCCTCTCCAACAGCTCCCTGTGTTTCTTGTACTGGGGGCTCCAGACCTGGACGCAGTGCTGCAGATGGGGCCTCACAAGAGCAGAGCAGAGAGGGACAATCACCTCCCTGTCCCTGCTGGCCACCCTTCTTTTGATGGAGCCCAGGATCCCAATTTGCTTTCCAAGCTGTAATCACACACTGCTGGCTCATGTTCAGCTTTTCCTCCATCAGGACCCCCAGGTCCTTCTCTGCAGGGCTGCTCTCAAGGACTACTCCTCCTAGTCTGTACAAATGCCTGGGATTCCTCTGGCCCAAGTGCCAAACCTTGCACTTTGTCGTGTTGAACCTCATTATGTTCACCCATGCCCACCTTTTGAGTCTGTTGAGGTCCCTCTGAATGGCATCCTTTCCTTCCACCGTGTCAACCGCACCACTCAGCTTGGTGTCATCAGCAAACTTGCTGAGGGTGCACTCCATTCCTTTTCAATGTCATTTATAAAGATGTTAAAGAGCTCCGGTCCCAAGACCCCTGGGGGATGCCTCTCATTACCAGCCTCCGCCTGGACATAGGCACCCTCTGTAAGCCTGCAGATGGCACCGAGCTGGGAGGAAGCACTGATGTGCCTGGTGGGAAGGAAGGCCCTGCAGAGAGATCTGGACAGACTGCACTGCTGGGCTGAGGCCAAAGGGGTGCGAGTGCCACGTCCTGCACTTTGATGAGAGCAGCTCCATTGGGGCAGTGACTAAAAAGCTGTGCAGAGGAGAAGGGTTTGGAGGTGTCAGCTGACAGCCAGCTGAACATGAGCCTGCTGTGTGCCTGGGCGGCCAAGAACGTGATGGCAGCCTGGTTGTGTCAGCAGCCAGCAGGAGCAGGAGGTGACAAGCTGTCCTCAGTGCTGTGTGCTCAGAGCCTCTCCTTGCAACAAAGACCTCGGGATGCTGCAGATGGGCATGGAGCTATGAGGGCCCTGATGGGGAGCGGCTGAGGGAGCTGGGATGGCTGAGTCTGGAGAAGAGGAGCTCAGAGGGGACCTCATGTCCTGAAGGGAGGTGGTGGTGAGGTGGGGTTTGGCCTCTGCTCCCAGCTAACAGCAATGGGATGGGAGGTGATGGCCTCACACGGCACCAGGGTAGGGGCAGGCTGGTGTTAGGGATGGTGCTGCAGTGCCACGCGCTGCTGGGGGGCGGTGGGTCACCGTCCCTGTGTTGGAAATATCCAAATAATTTATCTGATAAAGCAGATTTTATTCATAATTGCAACGGCGAGCCACACAGAAAACAGTGTTACATCTTTTATTCCCTATTGGCAGACGCTTATCTCTTTCTCCCCTGGTTCCCCATTGGCTGAGTGCTTCAGGCTCACAATCTTCCCGACGCTCAGCTAAACACACGGATGCTGGCTAAACGTCAATTTTTGCCCACTAAGCATACATTGCTGGTCAGTTAACTTCTCACACTTGCTCACTCAACATTTGGTCATTGTTTCTGGACATCTGCTCGTCCTTGCATAGAGATAAGCTTGGAAGGAGGACAGAAAGCAGCATCTCGATGCCTGCCTGGTGCATCCCAACCCACCCACAGAGCGAGGCAATCCAGCCTTGTGTGCAGGCCCTGCCTGCTCTGATGTCTGTTAAGTCTGGTTTTCTTTTGCTGAGGGTCCCTTATCCAAACAGAACAGCCCTACAACATGCTTTCTAGCCCATAATACTATACCTGTACTATTTGGAACATTTAAAAACTATTGCATTTTGCAAGCAAGAATTAATGACATAATTCAGCAACTTATTTCTAAAGCATGTTACTGACACAGATGGTGTTTCTGCGTTTTCACACCAGCTATTTCTAAGGACGAGTTACAAAATACAAACACGCTGTGCTCTGCCTCTTCAGATCAATTCCCCCTCCTTAATACCTAACGCAGAAACCACATCCCATTCCCACACCTGGAAGAGATCGGGAAATGCGGGGATGTGGCCCTGAGGGACGCGGTCAGTGGCGCACGGTGAGTTGCGGGGGGGGGGGGGGGGGGGGGGGGGGGGGGGGGGGGGGGGGGGGGGGGGGGGCTGAAGATCTCAGCGCTGTTTCCACACCGTAACGACTCCGTGCTGTACGGGAGCGGCTCCAGAAGCGTTTTTTCCACCCGCGGTGCCGCCCCTTCGGACACAGAGCGGGGACGGGGCCGTGCGGGGCCGCCAGAGGGCGGACGGGAGCGGCGGGGCGGAGCGGAGCGGCGGAGGAGCGGCGATGGGGGACCGACGGCCGCAGCGCTGAACCCCCCCCAACCCCTCCCAACCCCCCCAACCCTCCCCCCCCGCCGCGGCATGGCCGCCATCATCAAGAAACAGATCCTGAAGCACCTGTCCCGGTGAGGCATCCGCGGAGCGTCCCGTGGGGGTGGGATGTGTGTGCGGGGTGTGGGGGGTCCGTCCGCCCCGATGGCCGTGCTGTTTGTCCCGAGGGGGTTTTCGGCCGTCTCGGAGCTGCGTTCAGGGGCTGCTTGTGTCGGTGAGGTTGGAGGAGAGAGCTGAGCTCTCCGTGAGAATGGCGGCTTTTTATTTTGGCTCTGCGCTGACCTTGGCCGGTTTCTCTGCCTCAGTTTCCCCGCGGAGGTGCGGAGCGGCAGGGTTTGCACAGCGCTGTGTGCAGCTGCAGGACCGCTGGGGTGGGAAGGGATCTTTAAAAGCCGTCCGTTCCCACTCCCTGCACGCCCGCAGCTCCATCAGTGCTCACAGCCCCCTGGGGGTCTCTGGGGATGCGGCATCACCGCCTCTGCAGCCCGCGCGGTGGCTGCAAAACCTTCCTTATATCCAACCCCTCTTTGAGGCCCTTTCCCCTTCTGCTGTCACACAGACCCTGCTGTCCTCTGTCCCCTCCTTTCTCAGCTCTCAGCCCGTCCGTGCAGGGCAGTGTCCCATCCCCAGGATCACTTCTGTGTGCACTGTGAGCTGCTGGTGACAGAGTCCCTGTGTGCCTCTGGGCTCAGTGCTGGAGTGAGGATTAAAACTGGGAGTCCCCTCCCCGGAGCTGCACTCAGAGCCTTGGAGGAATCCCTGCAAACTTGAATTGAGCTCCACGAAGTGCCCGTCTGCATTGGTTTGGGCTGGGTGCTGCTCAGTGCTGTGTGCAGGAGGGCCTGCTGCTGGCTTTGCTGCCTGCACGCATTGAAATGAATTTCTGCTCAGCTGACATCACAGATCGTCAGGATTCTTGTGCTGTTCCATCTCAAAGCATGGCACTGATGGATCTGTGGTGGATCTGTGATGGATCTGTGATAGATCAGCCTCCCAACCTTCAGATTGCTAGCAAGAAGAGGTGGATGAGAGCAGCAGCTCCTACAGCCTGGAGCAGAGCTGAGCATTATTCCTCCGTGCTGCTTTGCCTGGAGTTAAAGCACGTATTTGTGGCTGCTTGGTCTGATCCCGCCTCATTCTCACTTAAATGTTGCAGACACTTTGCAGCAATGTATTTTGAACTCTGATACTGTATTAAAAAGAGGATGTTTTTCCATCCCAGTTCTGTTTGCTGCAGGTACCTCTGCTTCACGCTCCCTTTGGGTTTTTCTTTCTGCTGTGCTCATTTGCCTGGAAGAATTTCACCGCTCAGTCGTTAACCTGCCTTTATTTCCAGCTTTCCATTTGCATATGAAGCAATTCCTTGTATTATATCTTCATCTGAAGCGTGGAGCGCGCTTTTGTTCCTTCTATCTCTGCAGATTTGCAAGGAGGGGATCAGAGAGGCAGAGAGATGAGGGAAATATGAAGGAGCCCTTTCACACCACTGTTCAGATGGAGTGAATCACAGCAGTGTTTGATGGGATCCCCGTGGCTGCTCGCAGGGATCTGTGAGGCTGAGTTTCCCCACTGGTGGCAGAGCGGCTGTGTGAGCTGGGATGTGGGGAAGGCAGGGATTTCTCTGTCATCACTGCTTCGCTTCTCTTGGCTGCTTTGTTTTCCTCCTTCCCCACCTTTGGAAGCTGCTGAATGAAGGGTTTGGGCTCCATGAGCATCCTGATGAAGGCTGGAGCTGAGCTGTCTGTCTGGTGCAGGGCAGCACAGCCATCCATCCTGCCATCCCCTGTCACCTGCTGCTCCACGCAGCTGCAGCGCAGAGGAAGATGAGGCGTGGAAGAAGATGCAGAGCTGTGCAGCACCTTTGGGGATAAATGAAAGAAGTGTTAGGAGCAGAACTAAAGAAATATCCTAGAAGACAAAACAACTGAGTACCATCTACACGATGTAATACTTTGATGGGTGTAAATGTAGGTCAGATAGGAGCCAGGAGGAATGACACTTCTTTCACGTGATGCTCATAAACCAGAGTGCATCTCAGCACAGCACCTCCAGCTCACAGTGCTTTGGGCCATGGCAGGACTGCTTTGCCTCACCCCCTTCTGTTTGCAGCTGCATGTAACCTTTGCAGCACATAAAGCCCCTGCTGGCACATAAGCCTGCAGTGCATCCTTGGTTTCTTCTTCTAGATGAGTTTAGCAGTATGTGGGTGTTGCAGGCAGTGCCTTAGCCAGGGATGAATAAGGCTGCTGTGTTCTGTTATGAAATAACATGGGTCTGAGAATCTCAGAATCCCTTCCTGGCCTTAAAAATCCACTTCTTATTGTCCTTTTCAAGCAAGGGCTGCTTCTGCTCCACCTGCACTGCCTGCTTCTCTGGGAGGTCTCAGGTCTGTTTGTTTCTCATTTCTTGTCCTGAAGTGCTTTGCAGCATTTCTTGTCCTTTGTGTGCTCAAATGCTGAGCTGCAGCTGAGGCTTTGCAGTGACAACCAAAGCAGTGGATTTCCAGTGAGAACAACATGTTGGAAACCCTCTGCTTTAGAAGGGCTGCTGCCACTGTCCAGGGTGCAAAGAACCCTCTGAGTTTATTCCGATTTCCTGACTTTGATTCTAAATTAACTGCCAGAAATGGAAAGAGCGTGGTGTGTAGGGGGAAAAGCAAGGAGGTCACATCTGGGAGTGGGCTGATGAGATCTGCAGGCCATAAAATGATTTGGGTGTCCCTGGGAGGGGTCCTCTGGAGGTCCCTTCTGCAATTGGAACTAATATTACAGTTCCAGCTGGAGCTGATTTCATGTTCTCCTTCAGAAATCAGGGAGATCTCTCCTGCAGAAGACCATAATTGCCCTAAAGTAGCTGGGAATTAAGTGAAAGCACAAAGCTGCCAGCGGGTAAAAACCGATGTTAAAACAGCCATTACTCTCCCATCTGCAGAGCATTCTGTTCCTGCTTTTCAGTGCGTTCTGTTCAGCCAGGTAATGGAATCACAGCATCACCTAAGCTGGAAAAGTCCTTCAACATCCTTAGGTCTCATCACCAAACTGTGTCCCTCAGTGCCCCATCCACACGTTTCCAAACACCCCCAGGGATGGAATGGCCACCACCTCCCTGGGCTGCCCCTTCCAACACTGGGCTGCCCTCTCTGTAGAGAAATTTTTCCTGATTCTGATCTAAACCTCTCCTGCTGCCACTTGAGACCTTTTCCTTGTGTCCTATCACTTGTCACCCGAGAAAGGAGATGGGTCACCTCATTGCTGAGCCTCCTGCCTGGTGGCTGTGGGTTGCTGGGCTCTCCCCTCCTCCTCCTCCTCCCCACACTCGTGCATCTTTCTCATCTCTTCCCCAACTTCACTGCTCTTCATCTGAGCATCCTTCCTGAGCCCAATATTTGAGGTGAGGTCTCACCAGGTGCCTCTGCAGCCATTCTCCCCAATCCTGCACTGCTGCATGGGCTCTGTGTGACCCAGAGCCTTGCTGGATGCCATCTGAACTCAGCCTATCCATCCTCTGCAGAGCCCTCAGCCCTTTAAGGGAAGCTTTCTTATCTCACCTGTACCTTTTCAGGGCTTGTTGTTTCAATTTCAATGCTGAGGAACTCTGTATGCAAAGTCAAAAGCCTGAGGTATTGGAGTTACTTAATACAGCTGCTAATTCCTTGTTCAAACAGGGGTGGGGAGGGAGAGCCTACGCATGACAGGATGTGACATTTATCTTTCACAGAAGGTAATCTCTAATGCCAGTCAGGGCTGCTGGGCTGCACTTCACCAAATTGTCATTTGACCAAAGATGCATCAGCTGCTGCTGCAAGGTGTTTGCAGCTGCTTCCCCTCAGCTCAAGGGAGCAACACGTGCCCTTTTTAGAATGCTAAATAGGCTCTTGCTAATGCAAAAAGAAATTGCACTACCGTTGCTCAGGCTGCATGCATCCTCCTGCAGCAGCTGGGCTTGGTGGAGCATTGCAGTGATGCAGTGCAACCTCCTCATGCAGACCGAGCAGTTTGCTCACAGCAGGGGCTCTCCTCGCTGTGTTTCATTTCTTTGGGGCTCCTTCAGCCCACTGCTGCTCAGCCGACTCTGAATTATGTCATCACTTCAGATTTCCTGCCATTGGGAAAGAAAAACACGGCTCAGATCACAAGGTGAATCATCTGAGCAGCGGGGCTCCTGCCCGGCACGAGGGAGTGGGAATGCTGTGTTTGCTTACACACTTCTTCCCCGTTTTCCTTTGTGTGCTGTTGCTCGCTTGAGGGTCAGTCCTGGGAAATTCCCTGGCAGCTGCAGAGGTTTCATGTTCCAGCCTTCATGGGGCAGTGCCATTTAAACCTCGCCGAGCTCCCAGCCAGCTAGCTGGAAATAGCAAAACCAATCCTCTGCACGCTGCTGTTCCACCCTGCCAACATCCCTGCCTCTGTCCCATGCAGGTTAACCTGTGCTTGGCTTCGCCAACCTCCGAGTACCAAAGGAGGTGGCAGCAGTGTAAGGAATCCCCCTAAATGTGGAGTGCAGTCATTTTGTGGTTTTCAGAGTGCTTTTGGGTGTGTGAGCTGGGAGGAAGCCTTGGGAAATGCTGCAGTCTCTTTCATCTGCTTGGAAATGTGGGTTGTCCTCAAGGGTTTCACTTTGACTTGAATTTCTCAGTCCTTTGGCTGTAGTTGCATTGCACTGCACTGCAGCAGATAACGCTGCTCTGGGAGCTGAGAGAGCTGATAAGGAATTGCTTTGGGCATTTTGTGGTGGGAGTGCCTCTGCCCTTGGATTTGGGCTGTTGAGTGGTCTGGCCCTTTATCAGAGCAGTTGGTGCTTGGAAAGACAGAATGTTGGTTTTATGTAGTGCTGCTGCCTTGAAATTGCCGGGCAGAAATGCACTGAATTCACCTGATAAGGAGCAGACAGGTGTGGTGCTGGTTCTGCAGCTGGAATCAGGTTTCTTGTGGTGGAACCAAACATTGGTGCTGCCCACCCAGCGTACGTCAGCACTGGGTGCAGCAGGGCTGGAGTTATGGGAATGGTTTCCATGGGATTATTTCCATAGGTTGGTTTCCATAGGATTATTTCTGTAGGTTGGTTTCCATAGGATGGTTTCCATGGGATTATTTCCATAGGTTGGTTTCTGTAGGCTGGATTCCGTAGGTTGGTTTCCATGAGATTATTTCTGTAGGTTGGTTTCCGTAGGTTGGTTTCCATGGGATTATTTCTGTAGGTTGGTTTCCATGGATTATTTCTATAGGTTGGTTTCCATAGGTTGGATTCCATAGGATTATTTCTGTAGATTGGTTTCCATAGGATTATTTCCGTAGATTGGATTCCATAGGATTATTTCCGTAGGTTGGATTCCATACAATGGATTCCGTAGGTTGGTTTCCATAAGATTATTTCTGTGGGTTGGATTCCATAGGCTGGATTCCATAGGATGCGATGCTTTCCGTCATCTCAACAGTTCGTTTGGTATCAATCAAACCTCCTTCCATTCTAAATGCCTTTATACCAACTGGGTTGATGGGATTGGTACTACAGGCCATACGGCATACATACAATGCTGTGCATCAGTCAGTCTCATCTTCTTCTCATTTTCTGCTCATTTCTCTTCCTTGGCTGCAGATTTGCATCTCTCGGTGTTGGGCAGCACTGTGACCAGGCAGATGGCTCAGGGGTTGCACAAAACCTACTTACGTGGTTTTGCTTCCTGAAAAGGCTTTTCTTCTTCTTCCCATGTGCCTCCAAGGCAGCAGTTTTCCTCCCTTTTTATAGAAGTTCTGATCACTTGCCCAGTTTTATTTCCTCCAGAGTTATCTTTCAGTTCATTCCCAGACGTGTTTTGCAGTCAGAGCTTCTGCTGTTGTCTTCCTTGAAAGCCCCCCATTCTCAGCACTCCCTGACCTTTCCTTTTGCCACTCGTGACTTTATCTCCATGTAAGAATGACCTTCGTGGCTCACAAGAGTCAGCATGAAGGGAACTGCCCTGACACAGAGTTTTTCACGGTATTTTTCCCTCTGCACTGCTGGCAACCACTGTGGGTTATTCTTTCCTGCTGATGGAGGATGGGTGGCACTAAATAAAACCGAGGTCACTGCTGTCCTGCGAGTTAGTTCTTGCATATAATAACCATAGTAACGAAGATATTAATAGGAATGAGTGCTTTGCTGTGTGGGTGCTGGTTGTGTGCAATAGGAGGTGATTAGTGGGCAATTGCAAACGAGGTCTGAGGCAGAAGATGTGCTGATGGGGGGGTCTGTGTGGGGGGTGGCTCCAAGGAGAGGGTTTTTATCTGTGCGAGTGTTTGGATGCAGCGTGGCAGGCAGCTACAGGTGTGGACGTGGATGTTTTATTTCTGGGTACAGCCTGGCTTAAGGCCAGCTGTAAGATTGGCCAAACTCCTTGCAGGTTTGCAGCCTCTTGGTCTCCCAGCTGGTGAATGGGGCAGTCCATCGTGCAGGAGTGGCATCGTTTCTTGTCCTTGTGCTCAGGCTGATGATGGGGCAAACAGAGGAACGCTGTGCCCACCTGCAGCATGCAGTGGGGGAATCCCAAAGGCCAAGGGTTCCTGTAAGGAGGACGGTGCTTTTCAGCCAGGAGCTGCTGATGGTTCACTCATCTGGGTGGCATTACTGCTTAGGAAAGAGCAAAGCCTTTGTTCTGCCAAGAAACTGGGATGGCACAGTTCACAACTGCTGTTTGCAAGCTGTAATGCCCACATTATCACGAAAAGGGGAGAGCAGACAGCAGGGAAATCTCTGTAAACCATTGGCATAAGAAGGAGCCTTGGCCCAGCAGGGCTCCCCTGGTTACAGCTGTTAGAAGCTTCTAGCTGGTATTTGCTGTCTTAACTGCATGTCAGTCACCTGAAGGCTTTCCATGGGTGCAGGTGACTGGGATGCTCTGTTGGCTGTCAGCTGCTGGCCAGCAGATGCTGCCAGAAAGGAGGCTGTTGCTCGTGGCATGGGAGTGGACTGGACGCATTTGTGCTTGTGTACACAGCTGCAAAATGGCCTTGTGAGTCTGCAGGACAGCTCTGTCAAGGGTGGGAAAGGATTTTCTGCGTTGACTTTTGTCATGGTAATGTGAGCAGGCTCAAAAGGAGTGCTGTCCTGTGAGTTCACTGGCTTAGTGCTGCATGACTTCTTCCAGAGTTAGGGGGAAAAAAAAGCAACTGTCCCACACGGTCCGTTTTCCTAATAGTCACCGTTTTCATTCATTTTTCTCTAAGCCAGCAATCCGTGCTGCCAAAAATGTTACTGCTGATGAGTATGAATGCAGCAAGCCTGCCAGCAAGCAGCTCAAATCGTCTGCTCTCACAGCTCTGTCCTTCCCCTGGCAGTGACCAAAGCAGTTCTTTTCAATTTGACATCTGTAAGCTTCCAAATCTGCAGGCATGCATCACCTCTGCTCCTTCTGTACGCCCCACTGACGTGCATTGGATGCATCAAAGTGTCTCCCAGCTGAGGCTGCTTCCGTCCACAGTGCCTCTGGTGCTCTCCTCATCTGCTCATAGGATTCCTGCAGCCTTTCTCTGCAGATGAATACAGACATTTGTTTCAGGCTGGGTCGTGTTTCACTCCGCTCCCCCTTGCAGTGTCCGATGTCACAGCTTCACCCTCCTTCCCCAGCACACCCAGGGTTATTTTTGGCACACACATGCACTGAGTAAAGCAGTTCTCTGCTGAGACGAGTTTTTCTTTCTGCAGTACCCACCCAAGTGCCCAGGCTGGGATGGGGATGTCAGACAGCTGCAGCAGATGGCTCCCCATGCAGCCCTGTGAGTGGAACGGTGCCGTGTGCTTTCCTCACTGGGATTGCTTTATTCTCAAACCCAGTCCTGAGTGAGCATGATTACAACAGCTTTCAGCAGGGCTGCTTTGCTAAAGCAAAGCAGATTGCCTTAGCAGTGTAATGCAGTGCCTGGGTTTGTACGTCAGGACTCAGCACCAACCTCACAGCTCCCAGCGTCTCCTTCCCACCCAGCGTGATGCTTCTTTGTGCAGGGCTGGGATGCTGTGTTGATCTTGGCCTCCTGCCTGCGTGTGTTGAAGCAGGAGGTCAAAGGGAGCGACGTGCTCACAGCAAACGTGTCAGCTTCCCTGGGATGCTGGCATCAGCAGCACCTGTGGCTCAGGGAGGTGGCACATCACACAGTGCCTGCCTGTGGCACTGTGAAGGAGGGATGGAGGCAGCACGCAGCAGTGGGCAGATTCACCTCACCACCATCTGTGTTAACGAAATGCTGGGTTTGGAAGGGCACTTTTCTTGCAGGAAGCCCTGGGCTGGCAGACAGCTGAGGCAGGTTGGTAGCACAGCCCCATGGCTGCACCCACTGCCATCCCAGCAGCAGCGCTCTGCATCCTCCTCCCCTCTGCTCCCTTCAGCAGTGCCTGCACTTTATGCTCCCATGAGCCTTTCCCAGGGAGTGGGACCACACCAGTGGTGCAGGGAGAGGGGAGAGAATGGAGGCATGAGGCTGTGAGCCTTACCCTGCTTGTGTTGACAATAGGGCCTTTCTTCTGCTTTCTGGAGCGCTGTGCTGAATTAGAATGAGTATTAGCACAGAGGAATGTGGGCAGCCTGGTCTGGTGGTTGGCAACCCTGCACGCAGCAGGGGGTTGAAACGAGAGATGATTGTTGTGGTCCTTTTCAACCCAGGTCATTCTGTGATTCTGTGAAATAAGCTCTGGCTGCAGCAGTGAATCGATCAGCTGGCAGGAAGTCTTGGGGCTGCAGTGCGATGGGTGCCTGGTGCTTTTAATGATGCCAGAGGTTCTCAGGTTGGCAGCAGAGCATGCTGCTCCTGACCAGCCCTGCTGGCATCATTCCATCTGTCGTGCTTAAATCTCAGGCCCATAGGGGAGATAGCAGAATATTTGCAAGAATAAACCCCTGGGAGGAGGAGCTGGAGCAGAGGGAGCAGGGTGATGGATGCCAATGGGGAGGGTGGGAGTTTGGGCTGAGGGTTGGGTTGCAATGGACCTGCTGACCAGAGGGCTTGCAAGGCTGCTGTTTAAAGAGACAGCAATAAAAATAATTTATGAACGGTCTTTTCCTCTCCTCTGTCCTCATTACTTAGAAAAATCTGGGTGGTGAAGCACTTCATCGCTGCTTTGGCACTTTTAGGGGGAGCAAAGCTGTTCTCCCTACCTGTGGTTTGGCTTTGGTTTGGGTTTGTTTCTGTCCTAAGGCAGTTCTGCTGAATTCTCCCTTTCCAGGACTTTAAATGGAATTTTCAGTTCCTTGAATTTGATTTAAAAAGAAAAAATAAATAAAGTCCCTTCAAATGTCAGAATGTAAGGGGATTTTCTGGGTGTTTTTTTTCTGTTTGTTTGTTTGGAAAAACCAACTTGCCTTGGGCCTACAAGTGTCAGAATGTTGTAACGAAGAAGACAGCAGATTCTTTTCACTTCACCCTTCTGAAAGGCTCGGTGGGTCTCAGCTCTGCTTTGCTTTGTTTTTAGAGTCTCTTCTTTCCTCTTTGTAGGTTTACCAAGAATCTCTCTCCAGACAAAATCAACCTGAGCACCCTGAAGGGGCAGGGGCAGCTGACCAACCTGGAGCTGGATGAGGAGGTGCTGCAGAATGTGCTGGAGCTGCCCACCTGGCTTGCTATCACCCGGGTCTACTGCAACAAGGCATCCATCAGGGTGAGCAGGGGGGGCTGTGATCGTGTCCCTGGGTTCCACCTTTCATTTAATTCACCCTTTATTTAACATCCAGAGGATGTAAAGAGCCTCACAGCTTAACTGCGTGCTTGCTGGTAGCAAGCCTGTATGTATTAATTGTAATTGATGGCCTGGTACAGTTCTTTAGAAGAAATGGTGAGTGACTCCCTGCTCATTACCCCCACGCACCTTAAGGTTTTACAGCCCTTCCTGTTTCCCCATTTCCTCCATTTTCCTGTTATTTTGATAGCTGAGCAGTTCTCTGTGTCTTCCCCCATCCCCAGTGGCTTGTTTTTTTTAATGCTAAGGAATCAACACAGACCTCCACTGGGGATAGGAAGCAGAGACAAATGGAGTGCTGTTATCTGAAAGCCTGGTGATGCTGTGAGGCACCATAAAACAAATTGAGCTGAAGTCTTCATTGTTGGAAAGGCAGCTCTTAAGAATTTAGTGAATGGCACACGTGAAAAGCAGTACAGCCTGCACTCATCCAGCCACCGTTGGCTGTTTATGTGCACAAGGGCTGAAGTTGTGCATGCATGGACAGTTGCACTTTTGCACTCTGACCCCTCTTAGAAATTTTCCTCCTTGTGCTTTTTAGAGCACAAAATTGATTTTTTTTTCAGTTGATGTGAAATGCCAGACTGTTTAATCTCACTTACCCTAGTTACTTGAATGCATAGTTTTTTAGTATGTGGAGGAGACTTGCTATGATGGTTCTCCTCTGCCAAATGCGAATGAAGAACAGCCTGTCTTACTCATCGGATCTGTTCTATCTGTTTTTAGAGTCAGATCTGCTTAATATAGCACCAAACATTTGTCCTCCCATGTACAAGAACTGCAGAGTAAGTGTGGCTGCAAGAAAATCAAGTAGGATCACATTTGGGTTTGTATGGAGTCTTCAGAAGGGTGACCTGACTTTCAGCAATGGCAGCATTTTCTACAAAGGAAGGGGAGGAATCTGAATTTGACCTACTGAGCACCTATTACTCATGATGACACATGAGATGCAAAAGCTGGGCTGGGCTCGTAGGGCTGGCAGCTGGAATGTCTTCTCACTTCCCTTTCTGACCTGGATTTGATGCAATGTCACCATGGTTGTTTCTCAGGGCAGAACTTTGAGCTCAAATGGTTCCCTGCAATATCCTAACTTTTCTAGTGCAAAGGTGACTCTTGTAATCTTACCTCTATTGTTTCAGATCCAGTGGACAAAACTGAAGACTCACCCGATCTGTTTGGTAATGTTTATTCTCTTGTTTGTTCCTTCTCTTCCTAATCCTCTGAAAGGAAACTGAAGCGCACGCTCCAATGTCAACCTGAAGCCTCCAAGCCTTTAGAGCATGGGAGGAGGGGGAACTCTGAGAGCAGTTCTAATAGAGGTTGGGTGACCTCCCATGGGATCCCCATTTCCCTGCAGGATGGAGCTGGGCTCAGCTCTTGGTGAAGTCCAGGGCAACGTTGCCTGCTTTTTGCTGTTTGTTTTCCCCCACTTCTGGAGATTCAGATCACCCAACCATTCTGGCACTGACAGTGTGAGAACTTTAGCACAGAACTGAGGGATGTGAGATGGCACAGCTGGGTTATACCAGCCCTAGAGTCTCAGACCTAAGGTTGTAAGGCTGACCTTGAGCCTTGGTCTTGTATTTACTGCTCCTGTGTTTTGTCTTCCCAGTACCTGGACAAAGTGGAGGTGGAGATGCGGACGTGTGAAGAGCCCAGGCCACCCAATGGACAGTCTCCCATTGCACTTGCAGCCGGCCAGAGGTCAGAGCCCTGAGTCCCATGGCTTCTTTCTGACATGCTGGGGTATGGGTGTGGGCTGTTCTTCTCAGTAATTAGCACTGACCTCTGGGGGTTCTGGTTTTAGTGGTTCCATACGTACCGCAGTCTCTCCCCGACGACTTAAAGGATTTTCTCTTTGCAGTGAATACGGCTTTGCTGAAAAGGTCGTGGAGGGGATGTTCATTGTCGTCAATTCCATCACTATCAAGATTCACTCCAAGGCCTTCCATGCTTCTTTTGAGCTATGGCAGCTTCAGGGCTACAGCGTCAACCCCAACTGGCAGCAGAGCGACCTGCGGCTCACCCGCATCACTGATCCACAGAGAGGGGAGGTAAAGAGCCTTCAGATGCTGCCCGACCTGGGCTGCATCCCTGTTTTTGTATAGAGACTGCAGAGGAAAGATGTGTCGGACGGTTCCCTGTGCCCTTGTTTCGTTCTGTGTCCTTAAAGGGTTTAGTTTAATCCTGGCAGCTGGTGCAAATCTCAGCATTTCCCTATTTTCCTCCTTCTGGGTAGGTTTTGACGTTCAAGGAGCTCACCTGGCAGACGCTCCGCATTGAAGCAGATGCGACTGACAATGGTGATCAGGATCCTGTTACTACTCCTCTGAGACTCATCACAAACCAGGGGAGGATACGGATCTCTCTCAAGAGAAGGGTGAGTGCTTCACCTATCCCTTGGAGGATGCATTCTCTGCAGTGATGATGCACGTTTCCTCCCACATCCCTCAGCCCTGCTTCGTTTCCTTCACAAGTACTGACTTGGAGCTGATGTATTGCTCTGCTTTCTGTTGGAAACAGCTGTGTTCTAACCAAATGTCAAAGCAGTTTATTTCCCAGGGGAGAATAATGTGTGTGGAGCAAGTCTTAAAATCCGTTTTCTCATCCCAAGGAGATTTGTCATCTCTTTATTGGGAGCTGGAAGGCTGCTAGCTTTGCTTTTAGCTGTCAGCAGAAATGTGATGATGAGTGGATGTGAAGCAAAGTTGCAAAAAATTGTCATCTCTTGTTTTTCTGTCTTAAATGGCCAGCAATCAATTTCCCTTCCGAGGAGAAGGTAGCTTTTACTCCTTTCCTTCTCAGATGAGAGCAATGTGGGCATCCACCAGATGAGCTAACTTCTCTCTCAGATGAGTTTCAGAGCAGCATCTCTACTTCGTGCTGCAGCTTCTGTGTATTTTGAGGAGAGTGTAAAATGAGCAGCTCTTAGTCCTTGACACCTCCCTGCTGTTTTCAGACCAAAGATTGCAATGTGATGGCATCAAAGCTGATGTTTCTCCTCGACGACCTTCTCTGGGTGCTGACAGACTCTCAGCTGAAAGCAATGATGAAATACGCAGAGTCTCTGAGTGAAGCCATGGAGAAGTCTGCTCAGCAGAGGAAGAGCTTGGCACCAGACTCTGTGCAGGTGAGTGAGCCATAGGGAAAAGACAGAGAGAGCTCTCGATTTTTTGCTGTTGTTCTCCTTTGTTCTTTGGTTTACATGTAGCACAGTCTGTGAGAGCCTTCCAGCAGCAGTTCTAAGCAGTAACTTTGAACATCGCTTACCACTTGCTTTTTGTTTTTCCCCACATCCTGTTTTAAGTAACTGATTGATGAATGTCATACAATAAATACGTAGGGCAGAGGTCAGAAAGTGTTTCTGGAGGGAGAAGAGGAATATCACTGGTAGTGGAAGCTCTGGGGAAGGAGGGCTATGAGATTACATGGAGGGGTCATAAGGAACACTTTTCCCTTTTGATCTCAGAATATCTTCCAAGATGAGCTCTTACCAAGCTTGTTGTTTCCTAATAGATCACACCACCAGCTCCCAGTACCCAGCAGTCCTGGTCCCAGCCATTTGGAGTCAGCCCAAACGCAACCAGCATTGGTCAGTACTTCGATAAACATGACATGAAAGAGTCGTCCTACCACCTCCTCATCTCACGCCTGGATCTGCACATCTGTGACGACAGCCACACTCGAGAGTCAGGTAACACAGAGCATCAGGAGGATAAAAACAAGCCAGTCCTTTTCTGTCTCAAAGGAGGATTTTCCTCTGGAAACTCTCCTGATTGGTGTTGTGAGAAGTGTGATTAATGGGAGCCTGGAAAGCACTGGGGTCTTGTGATTTGGAATTTGAGATTCTAGATCTGGTTCTTATGGTTTAAACTGTTGCCTTGTTACATTCAATTGCCCTTTTCCTCACCTAGGACGAAATTCTGATAGAGCTCTTTAGAAGCAGATACAGCCATGCTAACAGTGATGGCAATCAGGGCAGCATTGTTCTGAATTATCCTGAGTCAGGGCTTGGATTGCAGAGCTGGTCATAGTTTTCTTTGTTCCATTTCTCACAGGCACTTTGAAGCATGGGATGCTGGGAGGTGCCATGCAGCTGACCTTTAGGAGGATGGCTTTTGACTATTATCCTTTCCATAGGGCAGGTAAGGGGGGTGTGTCCTTCCAGCTTGAGAAAAGAACTTGAAGAATGGTGATGCTGTGAGGCTTCAGGAAGGGCAAGAAGAAAGAGCTACAAAGGACCTGGATCTTAAATCCTCGTGGTCAGGGTTAATCTGATTTACCTCTTGATGAAAGATTGACAAGTTGTTGGCAGAGTGCAAAGAAAAGAATGAGTAAAACCATAAAGTTGGAACTTTGAATTTCTTTTTGGTTGCTTGAGCTCAGGACCTGATTCTGAGCTCATCAATTAGAAAGGGTTGTTTCTCAGGAGAAAATCTGTTGGTTAACTGAGGACGCAAGAAAAAAGTGTCACCATGGCATTCTTCCCAATGCTTGTATTTGAAACACTGGCAGGGGTAGCAACAGAGTGTGATATCAATCAAGGGGGATGCTTTACAGATTGATATTGGTTTAAGGGGAACAAGAGGGTTGTGAGTATGCAGGAGCCTAATTTTAAAGCTGGTATGTTTACTTTCATGCAGGAGATGCCTGCAAGCATTGGGTGAGGTACAGTGAGGCAATGGAGACACGGGGACAATGGGCAAAAAGGTTGCTCAGTGAATTTCAGAGCAAAGTTGAGAAGCATTACGAAGAAATGGATGCTGCCTTTGCCAAGACTCCACTTTCTCCCTTCAAAAAGAAAGCAGGTAATGATGCTGGATTAATCTCCTGATAAAGCTGGAGCTGGTAACAGTTGTTCTCCATCCAGCAATCTCTCTTGTTCCCTTTCTTAGCAGCTTGATCTGTTGTTCAGAATTGCATAGCACACCAAAAATGATAAATGTAATGGCATAGTACAGTGGGTTTTATACTGGAATAATGCTGCAGCAAGAATGGACAGACCTGGCTTATTTTTTTTCCTCTTTAAGTGAACATGTAATAGCCTGAGCAGCAGGAGTGAAGTGTAGCTGAAGAACTTCTGTTGGTGCAGATCACGCTGATCTCTCTCAGTGTCTTTCCTTTCCAAGCACTGAGTGTTGGCTTTTTTTGTTCCTGCCTGGCCGTGCCCATCTGTTTCTGATTCGGGGCTGTTATTTCTGCTCTGTAAGCACGGCTGTGTTGGAGCTGACGGCGACGTTGACTACAAAGGAGTTGAGTAAAACCCTTCTGCTTTCCCATCCCCACAGATACGTCGCTGAGTCCTCAGAAGAGCCCCTTGGAGAAGGGCCGTGGAGCTCCCTGCACTCTGCCCCAACTCCGGCACCCCCCCTGGCACCGCCTGCGGTCCAGCTGTGTGCTGCTGCGCGTGGACGACTTGGATGTTCACCAGGTGGGGGTCTGAGCAGTGCCTGGGGACATCCACGTCAGCTTCTTGTGAAGAGGGAAATTGAATTGGCCCTGGTGTAAATAAATGGCACCGATCTCGCTTCATCCAGTCCAGTCAATGCTCCACAACTGAGGAAGCTGAGTGTCATTACTGTGCTGCTTGTGCAGCCGTTGAGACAAGCGTGCAGTGCTGATCATTGTCACGTGCAGAGGAAATTGCATGAAGAACCACAGAGTTTCTGCACTCTTTGAGTTCACGTTCACTGAGGCAAACCCAGGATAAAAGATTTCATGTATTTGAGAAGTTGGTGGAGATGTGGATTTTTGACGGAGGAGGAATTTATCTCCCTCATGCTTTCTGACCCAGCACAGGAAGGATCACTAGGGTGGATCAGGCCCTACATCCGTACACCCTGTGCCCACTGTGAGAGCACGATCTGCCATGCTCTCACTGGCATGCTGTTAATACTGAAGAAGTTACGATGGGATACAGTTCTGTTTATTCACATCACCTAGATCTGATTGTTCTGGTTCTTAATAGCAGCGACATGGGATATAAATCATAGAATCACAGGATGGCTTGGGTTGGAAAGGGCCTCGAGGATCATCAGGTTCCAACCCCTGCCACATACAGGGCCACCAACCTCCCCATTTCATACCAGCCCAGGCTGCCCAGGGCCCATCAACCTGGTCTTGAACACCTCCAGGGATGGACGGGGCATCCACAGCCTCTCTGGGCAGCTGTTCCAGCACCTCACTGCTCTCTCTATGAAGAACTTCCCCCTGGTATCCAACTTAAATCATCCCTCCTTGAGCTTAAAACCATTCCCCCCTGTCCTATCTCTGTTTACCCTTGTAAAAAGTTGATTCCCCTCTTGTTTGTAATCCCCTTTTAAATACTGGAAGAATAAACGTGTGTATAAAGAGATGAATTCCCTCGAAGGAGAGGAGTTGACAGTATTCTTAGCAGGGAGGGGAAAGCTGAATCCTTACTGGAAAGCAGCAGAGTGTGTTTGATGTGTAAATGAGACACACTGAGTGTAGGAGGCTGCAGGCTTACTGGGATGCTTTCTTTTGCCACATGCAGGTTCTGTACAACTGCATACCATTTATGTTTTCAGGTTTCCACAGCTGGCCAGCACAGTAAGAAACCTTCCACCCTGCTTTCGTGTAGTAGAAAATTCCTCAACCTGCCTGATCAGGTCTCTGCAATCCACATTGAATTCACGGAGTATTACTTCCCAGACAATCAAGACTTTCCAGGTAATACACCAAGGTTAGCACCTTCTTTCATAAGTTTCTTCAAAAGTCAATGTTTTAATTCTTTAGGCGTGTTGACCATTTTGAAGCTTCTCTGGATGTCTGTGTCCATGCAGTTCCCTGATGTTTGCATGTTTGCCTTTCTAAGTTATTACTGAGAAAATGGTGTAGGGTTTACCTGGTGCAAAATGTGGAGGAAATGTTGTACTTGAAAAATAATAAAGCCAAGAGCATATTGAAGGACCTGCTTTGGTTAATGCTTGGGGTCTGGGACTCCAGGAGCTCTGCAGCTGCCCTGGTGTGAGAACTGCAACTCCTCACTGCTCTGCTGCTTCTCTCAGCTTTTCACTTTCACCACGAGGTCTGCCTTGAGCTGGATGTTAAAGCCTTGTGTTTGATGTTTTCAGTGCAGGTACTGAATTTGATTCTGTTTTGTTCCAGTTCCTTGCCCAAACCTGTATGTACAGCTGAATGGTCTGACGCTGACCCTGGATACAGCAAGCATGCTCTGGATAAACCTCTTCTGTCTGGATCTTTATCGCAGCCTGGAGCAGTTCAAAGCAATCTACAAGCTGGAGGACTCAGGCAAACGTGATGAGCATGTTGATGTTCGACTGGATGGCTTCCAGCTGAAGGTACCATTCCTTCCCTCCTTCTCACAGCAGTGTCCTCTCCCTCTCTGTGGTGGAAGTACCAGGGAATAGCTGGAGTCCAAGATGAGCAAACAAAACCTTCTCCCTTCTTCTGTCCACTGCTTGTGTTGGTTTTGTTTTCATCTGTGGGCCATAAAACAAGCATTTGAGTTCTACTTCAGAATAGATGGACAAGTCAATAGTTGTGGAAGCAGTTTCAAGGAGGAATTGCTGGTTCAGGTAACCGGAAGTTGCTTTCTAGACTTTGGAAGTTGTTTTGACTCTCATTCCATTCCCAATGGGCACGTGTCTGTTGCACTGACATCCTATGACGTTTGCCATTGGCTAGGTGATATTTTCCTTGTGTCTCATTTCTCCTCCCTGATTTGTAAATTTTATTAAGATTTCTCAAATGAGAATCTAGTTCAGCTCTTGGGATTTCAGTAGAGACCAAGACTTCTCAATTGTTTGCATATTCCGCAGCTGAATTTCTATGTAAATGGCCAGAATGGGGTTCTGTTGATTTCCCCTCTTGCTGCTTTACTTATCATATCATATCACAGAATGGTCTGGGTTGCAAAGGAGCACAAAGCTCATCCAGTTCCAACCCCTGCTATGTGCAGGTCACCAACCAGCAGCCCAGGCTGCCCAGAGCCACATCCAGCCTTGAATGCCTGCAGGGATGGGGCATCCACAGCCTCCTTGGGCAACCTGTTCCAGTGCCTCACCACCCTCTGTGTGAAAAACACCTTTCTCTTTCTTGCAGCTCAGCATCCCCGTGGAGAAGAAAGTCACTGCCCATCAGGATCGCCCGCAGGCGCTCTGCGTTCACACGTCAGAGATGACTGCCACCAACACCCGCCATGCTCCCTTCTGCAGCTGCCAGGACCTCCAGAGCCTCTTCCGTAAATTTGCTGGTTCAGAATTCTTCCACTCCAGCTACACCCAATTCCCACGATCCCAGGACAATTTTAACCTCCTCCATACCCTTTTCTTGCGCCACGCCTACGAGGTGGATGACAGACCTCAGAAGCATTCGGGTTTTCCTCAGCCGCTGCGCAAAACCTCTGCCTCTGAGGATCTGTGGTCTGTGAATTTCACTGAGCTCTCCCTGGACTTCGAGGGTGCTGAGAGCTCAAAGGGCAGAGCCCTTAGCTTTATTGACCCGTTTCCCCTTTCCGTTTGGGCCTGTCTTCCCAGGAGATGGGGGCAAGCTCAGATATCTAAACGACAGCCATCATCTGTCTCTGATTTGAAAATCAAGCCTTCTGCCAGTTTTAGCAATCACTCCAAGAATGAGAACCTTCCCAGAGAGCATGGAGTTTGTCAAAGATCGAGAACTGACCAGGATCTGAAGAGCATCTACAAGGTTCCAGAGACGATGGATGCCTTGGGAGAATCTGAGTGTGAACTTAACGATGGAGTAGATGACAAAGAGCTGGAAGCCTCTGCTGATATCCACGTGCTTTTGTCCTCCTCTGTTCATGTCAAAGTTCGTCTCAACCACTACCAATACTTGGTGCTGCTCAGGATGAAGGAAGTTCTGCAAACACTACAGGAGCAGCTGACCCAAGATACCCAGGAGGTGACTGGGTGTCCTTTAGATCCCATGTCTGCTTCGGTAGGAGTTATGTTCCACAGTGCTGAAGTGGCCCTGCTCATGAACCCCACACCAGGCTCTTGCTTGGAACCCAAATCCCTCGACTCAGATACAACAAGCCTGATAGAGTCGGAGCTCTCACCTTCAGACAGCAAGGAGGGATTGGCAGCTGAAGAGAAGGAGCTGGCAGCTGAGGAGAAGGAGCAGAAATATGAGACCGGTTCAGAAAAGGGAATGTGCAGAACCACAGAGGTCCCAGAGGACAACGAGGCTGAAAATACAGGCACCAGTGGAACCAGTGTGCCACTGGAGAAGCTTCCAAAATCTGCAAGTGATGGAGCTCTGAGCGCAGCTCCAAGTAAGAGCATGGAGGAGAGAGGTCTGATAGAGGAAGCACGTGAAGCTGTGGAAGCCCTGGTTGCAGAAGGAGCAGAAGAGCCTAGCAGCCATCCTCAGAGCCCTCCTGCCCTCCCCATTAGCCCAACCTCAACCAGTGCCGGCCCTCCAGCAGGAGGAAATCCCACTCTCAATGGCCAGGCAGAGCTCATCCCTTTGAAGAACCTAGAGGTGGAGCTGTCTAGTGCGCTGCATATCACAAAGGATGCCACCAAGGAAGCTCTGCATGCTACAATGGACCTCACCAAAGAAGCTATGTCTATAACAAAAGATGCTCTGAGCTTGAGCCGCGAGAAGATGACCTCTACTGTGCAGAAAATGCTCTCTCTCCCCCCAGCCAAGTGAGTGAGCTATCCTCCTGCAAGGCTGCTGGGAAGGAGGGAAGATGTAGGCTGACTGCTCCTCTCTCTGTGTGCTATTTGGACCAGAGAGATGTCAGACCTTCATCTCCTGGGGATAATATAAATACACTAAAGCCTGCATTGCAAGCATGCAGAGTTTAGTGCAGTACCTGTGTAATCCTGATGCTAAGCTGTTTGCCTTTGTCCTTTTCTTTGTGTTTTTTGTTTTGTTTTTTGTAGGGATTCTGTGCCCAAAGCAGAAGAGGGGGCAGTGACTCCAGGGGGTGGCAGCAGCCGGATGCGTTTCTTCTCCATGAAGAGGACAGCATCCCAACATTCCTTTGATACCACGTCTGTGGATGGGAGTGGTCCTGAGGATGGGCTGTCTGTGGACAGCGATGGCAGCGATGGCTTTGTAATGCTCACAGACTCTGGTAACCAGGGTCCAGCTGTGTCCTCATCCCCACTCTTATTTCACGCCAGTTAATGGTGTTCTGGCTCATGCTGTGTTCTTACAGGATTCCTTGTGCCACTCATTCTTTTTGAAGATGATGAGCATTTTCACCCACAGTGGCTCTTAATGCTTTTTTTTTTTTTTTTTTTTGAGATGAAGAGTATAAATGAGTGGGGAGGGTTTTCCCAGCACCATTACTGTGCTGTTCTGAGTCATTTGGCCATAGCAGAGTGAGAGGTGGTGTGCAGGTGGGTGGATGTCCCACAGCTTCTGGGGGAGGGTTTCATAAAGGATGGTTGGAAGTAGGGTATGCTGTGCATTGCAGTGAGCATTCTTCACTTCAGCTGCACATTGCTTAGATTCATCCAAGGAACTGGAAAGCATTCTCTGGAGGATGGTTCAGGTTGTGAGATTAAGGCAGATGCTGAGATTAAGGCAGAACTGCTTAAAACCAGAAAAAATAAATAAGAATCGAGCTGTTGTTGCAATTCTATTTCAGAGCCCAGCCTGGACCCTCTCCCTTCAGGGCATCTTCTCCAGGTGCACAGCAATGCAGGCAGCAGAGCAAACCTGGTGGCAGAGGATGAGAGCGGAGCATCTCCTGAGATAAACAGCTCAGCTTCACAGAGTGAGGAGCCCAGCCTGCAGCTGGTCAGAGCTTTGTTCCTTTGTGATACTGTCTCTAACTGAACCTTGCAGTGAACCACGTGGCTCTGTTCCACTGAGCTTGTCCTTCCCTGTTTCAGGTGTCTGTCCTTCTACTGAAGATGAACGAGGTGAACTGTGCAATAGAGGCACGAGGTGATGATTTGTCTGTTGCTTTACAAGTCATGAACGTGGTTCCAGAGCAGCTGAACAATGTGGGGATGTGGCAATACCTGCGTGGCTACGTGGGTAAGGTTCTGGCTTTTACAGGTGGCTTGTGTGCCAGCTGCTCTCAAGGAATCTTCCATTCTAACTTCAGTGTTCACAAAGCTGAAGGACCTGTACAGTCAAGTATGGTGTCCAGCACAGTGAAACTCTCATCCTTAGAATGCTTAAATTTCTTCTGGAGTGCATGAAAAGAGGGATAAAGCTCCCTGGGGAAACCCCAAATTATCCCTGCCCTGAGAATAACCCTTCTGGGCTGGGTTATCCCTACAGATGTATTCAGATTTTAAAGAAACATACAAATAAAAAGCACAGAAGCATCTGCAACCCAAAACTTTTAAGTGCAAACATATTAAGTTGGACATGTTTATTCCTGCTGTCTATAACCACGAGGGGGCACAACGAATAGAAGGTCGGGTGGTGATGAGCAGCTCTGGGAAGCTGAGAGTTTCTGTTTGACTTGTGCAAATGCTAAATGAAGGCTGGTTTTGTAATGTGCTGAGATGGTGAGAGGGGTGGGTGGGCCTGAGGGGTTAAGGAGCCTGGCTCTGCTGGTAGCTTCTGTGATGTGAACTCCGAGTGTTTTGCAACCTGGTCTTATTTATTATGGGAACAGGTTGCCCAAGGAGGCTGTGGATGCCCCATCCCTGCAGGCATTCAAGGCCAGGCTGGATGTGGCTCTGGGCAGCCTGGGCTGCTGGTTGGTGACCTGCACACAGCAGGGGGTTGAAACTGAATGATCATTATGGTTCTTTTCAACCCAGGCCATTCTAGGATTCTGTGCTTTCTTGTGAGACCTATTTTGACCATATCTGATGCCATCTCCTGCAGTGAGGTCTTTCAGGGTCGTGCTTTAGTGGGCTGCATTTTGGTGACGGGCTGAAGGTTGGACTGTAGCCTCAGCTCTCTTTTCCAACCTTAATGATTCTATGCTTCCGTGATTCTTTCTCCTTCAGGAGATGCAGACGTGGAGAAGCCTTCAGCCCCTGAAGCTGCTCAGACCCAGCCAGAAGTGTGCTTGCGTCTTGAAGCAGGACCTCATGCTGCTGTGCATTCCCCACTCGCTGTTCAGAATGGCTTCCTTCAAATGCTGGTCCGCAGTTACACAGCAGAGTTCTTCATGTCCTTCCTTACCAACCTCGGCCCCTTCCTCGAGGATGAAGTTATCCCAGAGGTGATCCCCATGGAGATTGAAGTCGTGGATGCCAAAATCACGTTGAAGGTGGGTGAATGGAGAACTGAGGTGGGATCCTGAGTAGGGCTCATCTGCAATGGTCTGCTTTGGAAAGGATGATGTGGGATTGCTGTGGCTTTCTGCAAAGGTCCTGTTTCCCTGATGGTGTTTTACTTTGTTTCTAATGGGCAAATGGTAACATAAGCTCAGATTGTGGAGAAACAGGAGCCTGACATTCAGATTCTCTCCCCAGCTTTGTTGATGATCTATTTGCAGACTCAAGGGAAAGAGAATTAAATACCTCTTCCCCAAGTGCTTGTGTGAAATGAGAATTATTTGACCTTTTGGTAAGCGTGTAAAGAATTATGGGTGAAAAAAACCACATTATGTAAGAGCTGGTTGATGTAAAGGGGGGACAAAACTGTTTTTCTGAAAGCAGTAAGCTTTGCTCCACTGGCGAGCAGGAACCACAGCAACATGAGAATCACCAGACTTAGAGGTATTGGCTTCATTTTAATAGGTTTTTGAATTTGCAGGACAACTGTGAGAGTAATCTCAGGGGAGATGGCCTCTCCCCAGCCTTTGTTACGGATATGGCAGAAGTGTGCTGTGATCCCTGCGAGTCCTTTTTGCACAAATTAAGTCTCTGTGTAAATAAAACCAGGCTTTTCCATATGGTGGGTGACCTTGGTGAGCTCTGGCAGTGCTGCCAGTTGGTAACGTTACCCCTGTGAAGGCTGGGGGCAAGGGGAACCCTTTGCCAGTGCTGTCACAGCACTTAATGTCTTTTTTTCCGCCTTTTTTGTTTTAATTTTTCAGGATGACAGCCCCCAGATATACCCCACCTCCCCTGGCCCTGTTCCTGTCACCTTGGCAATAGATCACGTCCTCGTGAAGCGCAGAGATGATGGAGTTTTCTACCTAACAGGTCAGAAATGTCAGGAAATGTGTTTTATTCTCTTGTTGGAGGTTGTGCTCTGCTGGGCCTGATTGTAGGGGCTGGAGCTGAAAAGTGGTGGTTGCTGCTGGGAAGGATGCACTCCGTTGTGTGTGCTGTCCCTAATTCTGATTCTTGCAGTCATTTCTGCCAGAATGGGCAAATAATCTTCTATCTTCAGTGCCAGCACCTTCAGCCTTTGGCTGCTCTGCAGGGCTGGTAGCTGGCTGCAGGCATTCCTACCTCTCTGCTTCTCACTGCTTTTGTTGTATTGTTTGGACAGAAAAACTGACACCTCAGCCAGAACAGATTAATACCTAAAAAGTGAACGGGCAGCCTGAATTCATGCCTGGTGTTTCCTTGAGCTCATACAGTCACGACACACTTCTGCATCTTCCCTTGGCTTGTCTTCTCCATTTTAAAATGGGGATAAGATATATATCTTTTTTCCCTTAAGACAAAAAGAGCATCCAAGTTTTTCTTTTAGTCCTAAGAATCTTGTCAAATAAATAATAAATAAATATCTCCATGCTTTTTTTTTTTTCTTTCCAGCTCCACAAGGGGAGGGCTCACCGAAACTGGAAAAACCTGTGTCAGTTCTTCAGGACCAGAAGGCCCCAGTTTTGGCAGCACCAGCAGGAGGGATACGTGGACTGCAGGTGAGTCACTGCTGCCTGCTGCTGTCTAGACAACCAGATAGCTGGCAGTAGGCTGGAAAAGTCTTTTGTCTGCATCTGTTTGCAGTTACTGGTAGGTGTGGTGTGTTGCAGATAGGGAGTGCACACAAAAGCAGTCTGTACCTCCTTTTACAGGCATTCAGAGAATTAAGGGATCAGCTAGCTGGCTGCAGGACTTACTCCTACGGCTAGAAGTGTGAAAGGGAGTCTTAAGAGAAAGTAGACATTAGAAATGCATCTCTGGCAGCCTGAGCTGGCTCTGGTGACAGGTATGGAAGTCCTCAGGCACCAGTTAGAAGTACTTTGCAAATCAAACTGGGTGGCTGTCAGTGAGCTTTGTGTGTACATCAGTGCAGTTGGATCTGCCCTGCTGCTTACCTTTCTAAACTCCTGCTTTGTTTTTCTTCTCTGTCTCTTGTAGTTAAAGGAAGTGCCAGAGTTGCAAAGAGAGCTTCAGAACATGAAAATAGCCCTTGCAGAAGCCAACATGGACAAGGCTCGCCTTCTGCAGGAAATTAGGAAATACAATCCCCTCTTTGAGCTCTGACAGTAGGCTGCAGCTGCTCGGGAGGAGTGGAGACCACCACCAGCACTAAGGCAGCGGGTTTGATTCCATCGCTGCTATAAACAGGTCAACCTCCTGGAGAACTGATTGTCACAAAGAGTGGAAACCCAACTGTGATTGCAAAATACTCTTCAAACAGGGAGAAAGGGCAGAGCTTGGCCGAGCAGCACGGAAGCAATGAGGAGTTACCCCTGTGCTGCCACTTTCCTCTGTCCTGGCAATATGGTGCTACCACCTGCCACTGAACCAGGGCAGTGCTCAGTCTGCAAACAAAAGCTCTGAAGTTGGAGTGGGGACACCGTGGCTCTTCATCCACACGGTGGTAGAGACAGTCTGCTTTCAGCCCTTCTGCCTGGAGGTGGTTGGCGTTAGGATTTCTGCTTTTTTTCAGCCTTCCTCTTTGTGTTCTTGCCCAATGACACGTGCCAAAGAGCACAGCAAAAGGAGTGCAGTTAAATTCACAGCATCAAGGAGTGGCAGGGAATAGGCAGGGCAAAAAACGTGGCTCGGAGCTGTGATGTGAAAGCATGTGTATTGTCACACAGAGAGAGAAACTGAGGTCAGGGGGTGTGGGAGATGCAGAAGGGATTTCCCCATGTGGGGGAAGGGAGCTACAGCTCATCAACCCCTCAAGGACAGAGCCAGGATAAGAAGAATTCTTTCAGGTTTCTTTTTCCACCACTGGGAAAAAGAGGTGGTGGTGTATTAGACTTAGTCTGACTCACTCTCAATCCTGCAACATTTGGCTTCATTGATGCAGAAGCAAAGAGGAATTTGTCATTTCATTACCGAGTGCTGTTTATTCTGTCTTTAATTTTGCAGTCAAAGAATAGAGGTGATGGAAGTTGGCTGAACCATGGAATGAAGCCTTTGTGTTTCCTTTGGGACACGTGGTGTCCTTAAACCATTGTGTTTCCCAACTTTCACCGGTGGAGAGAGGGAACACCAAGAAATAGCTGTCTGCACTCCTTCAGGGTCATGTATTTTTAATAGCACTGAGCTCATGCTCAGTGTTACATGTCTTTTAGCAGGGATTCTGGTGTGTGGGTCAGGAGAAGGGTGCTGAGCAGGGCCCCCTAGGTGCAGGCTGACAGTGCTAAGTGCTCACTGGGGGATGGAGGTGAAAATAAGCAGGGTTTGTATTCTTTGTGTTCTTACTTTTGCTAGAAGTCTGCGTGGTTGAATGGGGGACTGGTCTAAGTAGTAAAGAAACTGCCTCTGAAAGTGTGCATGGAAAAAGAAATGGGAACCTGGTAAAAGAGGAAATAAGCACTTGTTTTAAGAGCTAAGAAAGGAAATGTAATTTATGAAGTGCAAAGATCAAATCCACTGCTATAGGGAACTGGGTGTGTGGTTTCTTTGCTGTGCTGGTCCAGGTAGTGCACAGACTACATGCTGAATGAGGAGCAGCTGTGAGGGGCAGAAGTTGGTTGTGAAGGGAAGAGCTGTTACAAAGGAGAATTTGTGTTGTTCTGGCACAGCATGGTGGAACATTCACCCCCATCTGTGTTCAGGGTGAGTGCCCATCCCTCCCCATCAAATGTAGCATCTGTACTGTGTGCAGAATTCATGGGAGTTCAGCAGATTTCAGGTGCATTTTCTGATTGTGTAAAGGCACGCAGTACCCAGAACTTTCTTCTATTGGATTTTTCTTTTTGTGTGTGTGTGTGTGTGACCATTACTTCGTTGTAATTAGATTAACTAAAGTAATAGAAGATTTTAATCCTGCTTGCTATGCAAGGAACACCCTCTGATTTACAAGCCATGAGTAGCTGAGGCCTGGGAGCTACACAAAAGCAAGCAGTGATGTAGGAGCTGAGTTTGCTCTGATGTACTTGTCCCTTTGCCCAGCTCTGGAGCTGCTGAGCAGTTTACAGACACTTTAACAGACACTCCTGGTACCAGTTGAGCTCTCCTGTAGCTCTGGGGGCAATAGGGACATATTTGCAGCACGGGGTTGGGCACAGAGGCGCTGCTGGCTGTGGTTTGTGGAGAGCTGGGAGCGTCCCTTGCTGTGTTTGTTAGCTCACCCTCTGTAAAAGAGGGTAGGTAAGAGACAGAGGCTGATTGTCTACTGTCACTGTTAAGATCATCAGTGTGATTTGGTGTCTGACTCCATTATGCTGAAGGTAGCCCTGACTAATGTTCATTGGGAGCAGCGCTCAGATGCAGGGTCTGAACAGCCTCGGGCAGACCATGCTGCTGAAATGCAGTGTTTGTGGTGTCTTTGCCTGCCAAGCTGTGACCGACCGTGCCTCCAATCAGCTGTGACAGCAGCAGTGAGAGCCTGACCTGCCTTCTGGAAACTAGAAGCAGATGGGCACAAATGAATGGAAAGGAGGAGAGTTTGCCTTTGGCAGAGAGCTCTGCGCCCGCCACCCACTCTGCAGGGCTGGAGCTGATGTTTGGTGCTGTGCCTTTCACAGTTTGCTTTCCCTCCTCCTCAGGAGAGGTCCTCTCCTCCTGGTTCCTGTTAGACAGCTTTGCTGTTTTCTCTGGAGCGCGTTCTGTGACCCATCCCCAGCTCAGTGCACAGCTCGGTTTGTGTTGCTGCATGTGATGGAGCAACGTTCTGGAGCAGCCTGTCAGGCCTGTTCTCTAGAGGAAAAAGCACTTTAACTTTCTAAGCATCAGCGGGCATTTCCTTCACCAATACTGCCTCGTGCATAGAATCCAGAAGTAAAAGCAGGGGTCAGAAGTGCAAGATATCTTCCATACTGAAATAAAACTCTTTTCGTGAGCAGTTCTCATAGTAAAGGAAGGAGGTAACAAAGTCTCTGTGTATCTCCAGACTTGCTGTGAAACAAACCTATATGCAAAAGCTCACTGTAAGTACCATTATGAACTGCACAAAGCCCACATAAGCAGAAGTTGAACTTTTGGTCAACCTATATGCTTCTGTGCTTTCCTCTTTCTGTGTGAAGCAAGAAATGCAAGAACGCTTGCCTTAGGTGGAATGCAATGCTATTCTTCCTTTTTATTCACTAACTGCTTGAAAATGAGGTTCCTTTCTTTCACACTTCATGACTGTTTGAGTAGAGCTTCATCTCCAGCCAGCACAGGGAATGGATGGGGCAGAAGGGGCTTTCTGCAACATGGTGCCTATTTGCAGTGTCACAGAACTCCTTACCTCTCTTTCCACGTGGGCAGGCAGACCAGAGCTGGGCCCAAGCTGTGGGCAGCAATTCTCTTGCTTCAGCAACTCGAGTGCCCCAGTTCTGTGTGACAATTAAATCACTTCCACTGTCTTCTGCTTTAAGTGAGAGAAGTACTGTAAAACACCATCCCCTTCCTTTCTACGAGGCGTAGGCATGGGAGGACAAAAACTCCACTGATAATGATTAGCAAAGTTTACTTTTTAGAGCCTTTTAAGGGCTCTGTGTTATGAGAGCCAACTTAATCCTTTGTGTAACTACATGGCAGTTACCCTAGGAAAAGCACGTGGCCTCAGCATCTTTTACATTTAGTTAGAAGTGTGCTCAAAGGGGATTACTGTATGTACAGGTGGGCGATGTACAAGTCTGAACTTGAATTTTAGGCAGTATTGGAACTTTGTTGCAGTATATTTCCACTCATGCATTTATTGGTTCTGTGAACCATGAAAAGAAATTAAACTTGTTAACCTCCACACAGGCTCATGTACTTTTTCCCCCTCCTTCTTTTCTTCCTCGCTTTCCCCATTGTTTGGATTCTAGGCAGCTCCATACAACTACCTTTGGGAGGAACAGCCGAGTGATGACTTAAAAAGCATCAGCTTTCAGCATGTGTTCCCTTGCTGGTGGTAATGGAGCAATACATGCCGGAGGCGTGAAGCTTCTTGAACATGTTGGGGTTGGTTGAGACAGATCGCAGTGCGCTCTCCCTGCTTTGAATCACACAAACACCATTACACAATTCGTATTTGCTGTCCCAGCGAGACTAAGAATATAGTAACAAGTTTAATGTAGAAAAAAAAAGACACTTCTGTACAGAGACACCACTACACCTGTGCCAGCAGAAGGTACGATGCTGGTGGTAAATACACTGAAGATGTTGCATGTTCCTTTCCCAAGCTGCTGGATCAGAGGACTCTGAGGCACCAGGCCAGGAATCTGCCTCCTCCTTGACCCTGCACAGCACTAAGCTGACAAGCTGGCCTTCAGGAATTACTGCAGGAAACATCCCCATGGTTGCCTACATGAATGTCTGCACACAACGTACTGTTCATGGGCTGCTGGCAGGGAGCCTCTCCTATGGGGATGAGCTTAATGGGACAACTGCAGCTTCAGCACTTCTCCCTGCCCTTCTATCCCATGAGCCATGCTGAGAACATTCATGGTAGTTTTGTAAACTGAAAGCAATCCACATAAACCTCCATGCTTGAAGTTACTGAAATCCACGTTGAATTGAGCTTGAGTACAGGCTCCTTGGAGAGGACTGCAAGCAGGAGAGGGGGAGTGCTTCTGTTTCATATCTGCTGCAACTGCTGTACGGTGCACAACCGAAGCTTGTTCGAACATGTCTTCTCTTTGCTGATCCCAGGACACTTCAGTGGAAGATGATCTTTTTATATTTGGAATTTGGGATCTGTCCTCGTGACTTGAGCCTCCTGACAGCCTCCCGCATGTGTTTGGGCTGCAGAGGTGGCAGCTCCCCCCACTTCTCACACACATCCAGTGCTAAACAAAAAAACAAGAGTTGACATGAGCAAGGACAGCTCAGCTCTGCTGTTCTCCTAACAGGAGACATTTGAAAAGCCTCCTACTGGTTGAACTTCGATAATAAGGGCAGCAGGTAACACTATTCAAGGTTTACAGCTCATGTTTTATCTATACACAAGAATGAAACAGCTGTGTGTGTTTCTCTGAAGAAAAAACAGTCCTTGGGGCATCAATACCAGCTCGGAATCAGCTGCTTTTTAACAACATTCCAGCTGCTATGGAATAGACTAAGTCATGCAAGAGCTTGACAAGACCTCATCATCTTAAGCTTGCTACTTTAAAACCACCCCTAGCTTGCGAAGTATGTTTTGGGGCTTGTGTGCAGCAGTGATAGGAGAGAACAGCCTACAGCTGACTTGATGGGCAGTTCCTGTTCTTCATTTCTGTTAAGTATCATTCAGATCTCCTGCCAAGGACATGAAGCAATTAAGTACAGCAGTGAAGCTGCTTATCCAGACTGCCTCTGGCAACACAGAGCTGCAGACACAGTCAAGGCAGAAGAAGTGCCAAAAGCTGCATCATTCTCACTGATGGCAATCCCTGCACATCCAGGCTGTGTGCTTTGTGTGACAAGCCTGTACTAAGTTGTTGGCACAAAAAACAAGAATCTTTTCCTCCTCTCCATGAGCCCGGACACAGCTGGGTCAGCCTTGCACAGACTATCCTGAGGAGATCTCAGCTCACTGCATTAACAAAGAATCTTGCAGGTTAATAGGCTTAAGTAACGCATTTCCCTTCTAAGCTGAATTTGTCCACAGTAGTATTAATGAGATGTTTGCTTTGGCACTGCAGCCTGCTCACGTAGGAGCAAGAACTAAGTTATCTTCTGCAGAAAAGATAAAAAAGGAGGAAGGCACTCACTGATCTCTACTGGTTTATGGGCAGTTATATTAACAGCATTAGAGTGGAATATGGACAACGCCACGCTTCCCCCTGAGCCTTAACAGCAGCTTTCTGCTGCTGCTGCTGAAAGCAGGAGGGCTCTGCAGGGCAGTGTGTCAAGCTGCAGACCTGGACAAGAAGCCATAAAAGTCCAGCTTTATTTCATGTCCTTCTGTTCTGCTTTAAACAACACACTCTCTCTGTTCTTAACCTTTTACTCAACAATAATGTGATTTGCTCACCTTCCTCCACCACTTCCCCAACGAAGACCTTGGAAATGCCAGACATGGCAATAACCACATTCTGAGAGACAGACGTGCCCGTGATGGACTGGATCAGCTGCACAAGCCAAGAAGAGGCAGTCAGTCAAATGAAGTACGTGCAGCAACAGTGAAATATTTCAAATTATATTTAGTAATCGGAGCCTGCCAAATATAAAGCATCAGTAAACAAAATGAACAGAAACAGCAGCAACTGATCTTTGGAAGAACTGATCTTTGGAATAAGGTCCTATAGCTTTGGGCACATGCTGGCTATAACAATTTTAGATTACTTTTATTCAGCTACAGATCTGTACTAGCACCTGTTGCATCACTGTCCCCCACACTACTTTCATTTAAGATAAGCTTCTATTTAAACTGCATAAGCCCCACAGGCACACTGAGTACGACATAATCAGATAAGCAGATCTAGGGACGGCCACAAAGGCTGAGATGTGGCTGGAGGGGAGGGCGTGAGTGCCCACAGTCCTGAACTGCTGAGCCCCCCCATAGTAATAAGTTTATGTATGTGCGTGAGGCTGGGCTGGGAGTGTGGCCAGGCTCAGCCCGTTTGCTTTGTGCTGAAGCATGACTGAAGTCGTACCCGTTTGATAGCAGCTTTGGGGAAGGCAGAGCGGCGATACATCTCATAGCGATTCAGCTGTTCTTCAGAAAAGGAGGAGACCAGTATTCTGGAGGGGAGAGAATGAGTCACTTACAGAGATTTAAAAAAAACAAACAGACATAATTCTGAAGTTCCTCAGGCCACCAAAACAGTCCTGCAGAGCATTACAACCATCCTCAGCCTCCTGCAGCACAAAAAAGAGCTGGAGAGAAAACAGCAGTGCCCCAGTTGTGCTAAGATTTGCAATGCAGATGGTGAGGCAGCTTGGAAGAATCCGGGAAGGAGCTGCAGACACAGAGCATCCCAGGTTGGAAGGGGATCCCACACCAAACTCCTGTCCCCGCACAGCACCGCTCAAACGCGATGGCTGTGGTGCCCCAACTCAGCCATTCCCCTCGGGGGGTCCTTGCACTTGGACTGAACACCTCCAGCCCTGACAGAACCCCCCGCCCCGGGCGCACTCACTGCATCTTCTGGATCTCATCTTCGTCCACTTTGTGCTTCTTCTCCTTCCTCTCCTTCAGCTCCAGCTTCACCTTCTTGGCCGCCGACGGCTGCAGGCTCAGGTCCTCCCCGTCCAGCGCCTCCCCCTCCGCGCTCCTCACCTGCACGAGAGCGCGGCGCTGTGGCGGCGGCCCCGTTCGCTTCCCGCTCCCCGCCCCTCACGGCCGAGCCCGGCGCCGCGCCCTCACCTCCCCGTCCGCAGCCTCCACCTTCAGCTCCCCGCCGCCTCCAGCCTCCGCCGCCTCCCCCTCTGCCGCTCCCTCCGCGGCCGCCGGTTCCTCCGCGGCCTCAGCGCCGCCCCCGGTAGGGGATGGGGCGGTGGGTGACGGCTCCCGCTCGGCGCCGCTTCCCCTCTCCTCCCGGCCCGGCTCTGCGGGTTCCGCCATCGCCCCGCGTCGCGCCGTCGCGCAGTGATGACGTCACGCTACGGCGGCCGGCGGGGGTGGCGCTGTCGTTATGGCAACGGGGCTTCCGTGGCTCTGAGCGCCGTGGGGCCTTCGGAAGTTGAGCTCAGCGGGGGGACGGGACCTTTCCCCCCCCCAGAGCTCCCTCGGGAGCTGCAAGCAATTTCAGGCTTCTGCTTCTGGGCCGAAGGCTGTGGCAGCTCTTCCAGCGGAGACGGCTGTAGTCGCTACACACGGAAACGTTTTTAACCTGTTTAAGGTGGAAATCTACCTCGTCTGTAGCCAAGGTCACGGGTTTAATGCATCGTTTTACAGGGATGCGTTCTGTGCGTGTTTCATTTCTTCGTGAAAAGGGAAATACGAGTCGTCCTGAGCGCCCGGGCTGGGGGCGGGGCCTGCGGGACAACAGGCCACGCCCATCTAGGGCAGACCACGCCCTCTTTAGCGAAGGCCACGCCCACTCAGTGCAGCCCACGCCCCGCTACATTAGCCCCGCCCATGTACATTAGGCCACGCCCACCCACAACAGGACAAACGGATCCCTCAGGCCACGCCCACAGCCCATAGGCCCCGCCCCCAGAGCATCCTTCCGGGGCGTGGCCTGGCGGGAGGCGGTGGCGGCGGCCGGGCCGGGCCATGGGGAAGGAGCAGGAGCTGCTGGAGGCCGCCCGTACCGGGAACCTGCCCGCCGTAGAGAAACTGCTGTCGGGAAAACGCCTCAGCTCCGGTTTCGGTTCCGGGGGAAGCGGAGGAGGTGGTGGTGGAGGTTCCGGGGGTGGTGGAGGCGGTGGAAGCGGCGGTGGAGGAGGAGGTGGAGGTGGTGGTGTGGGGCACCCGCTGTCCAGTCTGCTGAGGTGAGCCGGGGGGGCTCTGAGGGATGAAGCTGTTGTAGGGCTGTGGGGCTGCAGGCCTGGGGAGCTCTGTGGGGCCCGTGGGGCAGCTGAGCTGCGTTCAGAGGTGAGCGCAGGGCTTGAGGCTGTGGGAGGGCTGTTACGCTGTGGGGTGAGGGCTGTGGGGAATGAGGGGCTGCAGGGCTGTGGGGTAGGAGGTAGGGGCTGTGGGTGGAAGCTGAGGGGTTGGGAGTGAGGATGTGGGGTGGGGAAGGTAGTGGGGTGTTAAGTGTGTCTAGGCTCTCCAGGTGAGCATTGAGGTTTATAGGAGCTTAGAGTTGTGGGGTGAGTAGGATTGGGGTGCTGTGGGGCTGTGGAGAAGGAATGGAGGTGTGTGGGCTGGAGAGATCTTAGAGTTGGGGTGCATATGGGGCTGGGAGACTGAGGACTGTGCTGCTTGAGGTGAGGTGTGGGTTTAGGGGTGTTGTAGTACTGTGGGGCAGTTAGGGATTGTGGGGTTGATAGGGGTACAGGGTTGAGGACACAAGATGTATGGGGGTTAGTGGGTTTGTAAGCATGAGCTGGGCTTTTGGGGGTTGTTGGACTGGTTGGTGTGCTGGGGAATGACAAAGGGGTTGTGGAACAGGGAAGCTGTGGGTTGGAATCTGTGCATGGGGTGGAATGTGTGGGTGGGAGGGCTGTGGGACAGGGGCTGTCTGAGCTCCCGTGGTGTGGGATGGGGCCCAGTGGGACACGGATGTGTCTGTACTGTAAATGAAGGGGGAACCAAGAACTGCTGTCCCTGGGGTTTGGGCCTGTCTGGGTTGAAAGGAGTGCATGAAGGGGATGGGATGAGGCACTGTGGTGGGATACATGGACTGTGGGGTGTGTAGAGTGTGTGAACATAGATTGGGGCAGCTCTGAGCTATGGTACCAAGGAGGTGGTGCTGCAGGAGGCTGGGAGCGGAGTCCCTGGGGCTCTGTGCCCCGAGGTGAGCTGTAAGCTGGGGGAACAGTGCAGCAGGGCTGGGTGCTGCCCTGTGGTGGCTTTGGCTCTGCCTGCCTGCCCGGGCTGCTGTAGGTGCTGCTGATTGTGGTTGGTTGCAGCAGACTGGTGTAACTGGGAAGACGTGTGTTTGGAGGAGGAGGACTCTGGGTCAGTGTGCCAGCAGGGGCTGGTGACTGTGCATGGGTTTCCTCCATTCATGGGTGAATGTACAGGTTAGACGTGCAGCTGGGTGTTCAACAAGGTGTCCTCTCACTGTGCTGTGTGTGTGCTCACCCTCCATAATTTCCATTGCTTGCAGCAACGCTGCTTTGCCACAGCTCAGCCTGACAGTGGCTGGCAGCTCAGGGTCAGCTGTGCTGCGTGCTGCACAGGCACCCAGAAGGAGGGCACGCTCTTTTGCTTTTGCATTTAAAGGACCATGCTGTGTAATTCGCTCTGTTTTGAAGCTTTTAGATGTTTGTTAGTGTTTTCTCCTCCCCCTTTTTCCCCTCCCCCGGCATCTCCCAAGGAAGCCACTTGCTGGTGCGTTTCTTGAGTTGCAGCTTTTTTTGCTGGTCCAGTGCTGTTCTGTTCTCTGAGCAAGTAGTTTGTTTTGGGGTAGGAAGGGAGGATTCAAGCCCATTTCTGAGCTATGCCATCACTGTGGTCTGAGTGTCTGAAAGGATGCAGCTTGCCTATTTGTAGCCAGATTTGATCCACTTCTCAATCACTGTATCAGAGATTTGCTATTGCACTCTGAGCTGAGCACAGAGCCCGGTGGCTGCTGGTGCTTACGTTTCCCTGGTGTATACATCTGCTTCTCTGCAATGCAAATCTGCACTTGGGTCAAAATTTCTCTTCTCATTTAACATACTAAAAACACCAAGCCCTTGTTTTGAGTGGGAAATTGGCTCGGAACCCTTCAGGCTTGTCTGCACCAGAAGATGGATGTACTTAAGGGCTGCTTAGATAAAGTGGAGAGGGTCAGCTGAGTTAAATACACACCATGAGTGTTATCAACCTCAAGTTGTAACAGCTCTGCCACGCTCACCGACAGACAGCGCGTGGTGGTGACTTTGTGTTACGGGGATGCATCACTGCATTCCAGGCTGCTCTGCAGGCTGGGCAGGTGGTCAGTGTCTGGCAATCAGTGTGGCTGCAGCAATGCCAGACCCGAAGGTGATGGCAGACCCCCATAATGGCAGCCCCATCGGTGCCAGGGAGCAGCTCCAACATGGGTCAGGAGCTCCTCAGCTGCTCTGCTCCCGGGGGCAGGGAGGAGGGTGTGTGGCGGTGCTTAATTACAGCCAGCTCTGCCCTGCTGTCCTCCTTTTAAATAACTTCAAGGCTTTGGAAATGGGGAATATGAAATTCCGTCTGCCTGACACTTGATGGAAAGCCAGAGGTTGGGAAATGAAAGGGATGTGATGTGGGAGGAGGTGGTGGGTGCCAATGGGTCACCCCTGAGCTCAGCTGTCCCCAGAGAGCAGTGTCCCAACAGGCAGCAACAATGGCTTTGGAGTAATGTGGAGGTTGGAGGTTAAGTAATAGACACTCTCAGTGCTGGTGAGTGAAAAAAGCACAAAGTAACTACCCAGAGCAGGGACTTTTGTGCGTGTATTATGAGAAAGCTTTGATTTGGAGGTGCTTAGAAGGGGTGAGCCTGCTCACCTGCTTCTTCCCCAGCTGGTTCCTGCTCTCTCCAATGCTAGCACAATGTTCCAGTTCCTGTTTTGCAGCAGTCTCACTGCCTTCTCTCTGCATTCAGTCTTGGCTGTCCCAGAAGCACAGTTTGGAGATGGGTACAAAGCAGCTGTTGCTCAGACACATTGTGGATGTGGTGCCACTTCTGTACAGAGAACAAATGCCGGTCCGAAAGGCACAGAAGGTGCCCCCAGCAGTGTTCAGTGGAAAAGATTTTGCATCATTGCATTTGTTGGGATTTCAAGGTGAGCTTTAGCAGGGCCTGAGGCTCCCAGCTCCGATCACAGCATGAGACCTCCCACTGCAATCACGAGTCGTGCAGGTAAGCAGGAAGCGAGATGTGATAGACTGTGAGAAGTCAAACAAGAAGGAAACGCTGAGGTGGAATTCAAGATGAAGTCTCTCCCCAGGGGGGCAAACGTGCTGCTCCGTATTGCTAAAAATATCTGGTAGAAAAACACACCCCACTGGAAAGCAGAACCCTGCAGAAAAAGCAACTTCTTTTCACCAACCAATGTCAAAAGATGGGATCTCTCTTGGTGAGAGAGGAAACTGAGGCTGCTGCTGGGCTGTGTCAGCTCCTGTAGGTCTATCAGGGACAGGCTTTGCAGGGAGTTAGGGCATTCTGCATGCATCTGTTGTGGTGAAGGATCTGGTTGTGCCTTCGCTGAAGCCACAGCAAGTGTTCCGCTCAATTTGCTGCAGTTATTACTGGCGAGTATTTTCTTTGGGTTAGGAAATGACATGGTACAATGGTTAAACACTTAAAGTAGCTTCAAGTAGTCCAAGTGTGGTTGAAGTCAGAAAAATGATTTTTCCTTAAATGAAAAAGTGGGGTTTTGTATTTGGGGTTTTATATTTGCTCCTGCACAGCTTGATGGCTTAAAGATGTTTGTTAGTGCTTCACTGCAGAACGCTTTCTGAGGGTTATCTGTTCCTGGTGCCTGGGCCCTCCTGTATTGAGGAAAAATGAGGTGAGAAACACAGGGAGCAGAGCACAGAGTTCAGCTGTTGGGCTCTGCATGCCCAGGGCTGGCAGCCAGGAGGCACAGCCCCGGTGCTGGTTGATGTGGGGCGGGGAGCAGCCGCCTGGCTCCAAGGTCCAACTTCAGGGGCTGTGTAAAGGTGCCAATAGAATGCTTCCTCATCTTTCCCTTCCCTCACCAAGAGGAAGTTCCTCTTGGAGCATTCTTATGAAGCATACAGACACTGTGGCTGTGTTTTCACTTCTCTCAGGGCTGTCATTAACAGCATCTCACCCAGTTTTGAACTCTCCTGCTCTCCACCCTGCCTTGCACACAGCAAAGATCAGTTCACTCTGATATCATTGGGAGTATGGGCACCAGAGGCATTAGGTGTGCCCCAACTCTTACATTGCAAGTTGTTTCCAAACCACTTTCTAAGGAATTCAGGAGGGCTGCAATTGTTGGCAATGATTCTGAAGCGTTCTGCATCTGCGTGATCTTCTAATGCAGCATTGAAACACTTCATTTGCTGCTTTGGTCAGCACAGCTCTGTGTTGAGGTGTGTGTTCTGTGCCAGCAGCTCAGTGCACGACCTCAGACAGCCACACTGGCAGTGCTGTGGCATGAGGAGTGCAGGGCAGCTCAGGCTCTATGTCACTGCAGCAACCCCATGTGAGAGCAGTGCATCCAGGTGGGTATGGAGCACAGTTCCCAGTGCTTCCCATTGCTGGGTAGCACCCCTTCCAGGAGCTTCATCTTGCAGTGCTCACATACGGGTTGTTCCATGGCTTTGTGTTTTTTTGTGCCCTGAGCAGGACTGGCTTGAAAGCTAGCTGGAGCCTCCTCAGAGAAGCTTGAGGACCAAGCAGGTGCTGATGGCTCACTTCACCACATGCAGCCTTGACATTTGCATATCGAGGGTTTGAGGATTGGCTGTAGTGATGCTGGGTTAGCAGCTGCATTCAGCAATGTTTGTGCAGAAGGATTGGTCCATATT